TTTTTTTTTTTTTTTTTTTTTTTTTTTTTGACACAAAAGCTCAATCCATTTGTGGGGAGCATCACGTGCTGAGAACCGGGCTCAGCGTCCCATGACGATACAAGGTGAATTATGAACCATATGTGAAGACGGGGGATACCGTGAGATACCTTGAGATACCAGGACCTGGATTTGAACTTGAGTCAGCATATCAACAGTTCATGGGTGTACCGACTGAGCTAGGCCCCTAGATTGGAAGACGGGTGTGCGAGCACTTCCTGCTCAACCAGATATACATGGAGCACCCTGCACTCGACAATGATCCAGGATCAGCGGCCTTTCCTTATCACCATCAGTAGCATTGGCATTTGCCCCCCTGTAACTAGGGTGAGCAGTTGGTGTCCTCCACCACAACCTCACCTGTCATTTTATGGAATCAAAACGCACATGCACACAAACACAGTCCCAAACACAGTTCCACACACACAGTTCCGCGCACACAGTTCCACACATAGTTCCAAACACAGTTCCACACAGTTCCAACACAGTTCCAAACACAGTTCCCCACACAATCCAAACACTTCTTCTTCGTCGTCGTCTTCTTTCCCTCCTTCCTTTTTTTAAGTCTGCTGGGGGGGACTACGAGGTGTGATAAGAGCAGCGCCCCGTAGTACCCTCCTCTAGGAGCTCCATCGATTGGTGGGCAGCTGCACCTGCTGGAAAACGGGTCCATCTTGTACACAGTTCCAAACACAGTTCCAAACACAGTTGCAAACACAGACAGTTCCAAACACAGACAGTCCCACACACAAGGTTCCACACTTGCACACACACACACACACACACACACACACAGGAAAGACAACTAACTGTGGGAGCATGCAGAGTGCAGAGTGGAATTGTGAACAACTTGGGTGTTCCAATGGGTAAGACAAGTGAAACAGATGGAACAGGGGAAAGAGGATGACGAGGGTCACCAGGCTGAGAAAGTAGTAGTGCCAAGGATGATGAAGGATGTGATTTTGCACCACTTATCGTGACCGGAATTCCAAGACTGCTATCAATTGCCAGAAAGTGATCCTGACGCTGATCCTGCTCCTACAACCATGATGCTGGACATACACAAAGACTCAGGATGCAATTCAAAGCTCGCCATCAGGCTTGCAGTGGCACCATTGAAATTAGTTCCGAATCAATAGCAATCTTCCAATTCCAAGGGAAAAGAGTGGCGATCTTCATACTTCTTATTTTTTCCCCTCCTCAACATGTTTCATTTACATGCCTCCATCCCCCTAATAAATATCAATTCTTAGAACCAAACCCTGATGGCTTGGATGCAAATCCCTGCGCCGTCGCAAGCCCTTCTCCTGTTCGGCGCTTCTTTCTCTTGGCAGTGCCAGGCTTTGGCTGCACATGACAAAATGAGGCACAGGCCAGAACACTTAGAATTTTTTATTTTTTATTTTTTTTTATTTTTTTGGGGGGAGGGGGGGGAGAGAATTGTTGTAATGCCCCTGAAAGTTGGGGTATTTCGTTAGATACCCCTAAAAGGCATGGGTATGGCAAAATGCCCCTATGACATGTGAGAAACTTTGTGAAATACCCCACTCGCGAATTGGACCTGTCATCCTTTGTATATACCCCTACCGGGCCTTGGGAAACTTGTCTATATGCCCCATATTTCTGGCCATTGGACCCTGCAGATTGCAAAAGAAATCTGCCAGCCCCTGCAGTCCAGGGCCAGGACATAATATGGCAAAGTTGGCAATGACCTGTACAGGCAGATGCAAGAGTTGTTACGATCCTGGTCATTTCCCAAGTGCAAATTCACAATGAAAGACAATGCCACCCAATTGCGAAAGAAATGAAAGCACTTGCAAAGAGATAAAGACCAGAGGAGAGGTAAAGAAGAAGAAGAAGAAGAAGAAGAAGAAGAAGTACACCAGCAAGACCAATGACAATTCCCCCTTCTCTCTCCACCTTCCTCCTCCTCCTTCACTTCACCAATCTTATTCTTCTCTCAATAATAATAATAACAAGGAATGGATGAACCAGAATCAATATCCGAAGTTCCCTCTTACTGCTGACTCAACTCGCAACAACAACAACAACAAGAAAGTCCACCATGGCCATGGCTTCCCTCCTTCAACCTCCTCTCTCATGCATAGGCCATGGCGGGCTACTGGGAGGCAGCTATGATGCTGCGCTGATGTCCCAAGACAACCCAAAGCAGCTATGCCGCTGCTTGACTTGGTCCGCTATGCCTGACTCTGCCTTGAGCTGCTCTGGTGCAGCGCTACCCCAACTGGGGCCTTCCAGATGCAGCGCCCAACAAGGTGATGAAGACGGTGTCCACCATAGCCAGGTAAGTGCCCTACCACTCTCCTACCATGCCCCCTTCTTCCTCCTCCTCAAGCTGGGGTGCTCGCCATAGCCAGGCTGAGCCCCAGYGGACCTTCACCTYSAAGCAGCGCTGCTTCAGTCCAGCGCTGCRCTCCAGCAGCATGTCGCCAATCCTTGCATACCGCAAATGAGGAAGAGCTCWCCGCTCTTCCTGAAGATATAGCGGCCTACCGGTACCCTCTCCCTTCCGGTCCCCTCTCCCTATGAGCATCAGCAGTCTCTGCTCAATGACACTCGGGGGAACCAACAGCATATCTCTAGGTGGCGGGCGCCAAGCTTGCCAGGTTAATTTTATTTTGTATTTTAAATTTGGTAAAGAATTTCGATGGGACCCTGAGGCAAAAGTTCAGTTTATTTTACTGCATAACATAGTTTTTGTTTTGTATTTTTTTCAATTTTTTAATGTTTTTCTTTTTTGTTTTTTTGCATCCTTGCACGGATGGGCTGCCTGGGAAAGTATGAGAACTTCCAAGCACTACATGCAAGGCACCATGCGGCTTCACTCACAGGAGTACGAGGGTCTCCGTGAAGGTGGAATGAGTAGATGAGAAATTCAGAGGTGGGTGGGGACCGACCACAGAAGGGCAGAGGTCCTTTGGGACATCTGTTAAAACTGGAACGATACAGAGATGCAAGATTAGCATGGCCCCTGCGCAAGGATGGCAGGCAAAAATCGAAAGAAAAAAAAAACAGTAGGGCAGAGGTAATGACAACCAATGTCAACAAAACAATGAGGAAGACCCTGAGCTGCCTCGCTCACCTGGTTGTTGTTGATTGTCTGTTTCCCCGAAATCGCAGCAGGAACAAAAAAGGACATACATGAATTTGTAGATTGCTTCTTTCTTTTCTTTTTTTCTTTTTTTTCTGTTTTTTCAGATTGCAGATGGTAATTTTAGAACAAACAGTTCGATGAGCATCGGCATGAAAGAGAACAATTGAGAAACATAATTTCCTCTTCTATTCCTTCGGGACATCCGTTAAAATTGGAACGATACAGAGAAGATTAGCATGGCCCCTGCGCAAGGATGACACGCATAAATCGAGATGTAATGAAACCTGCAGATTCTCAGTGGACTGTACATTAGGCTGAGGGCGAAGCCTGGGGCTTGCCTCGGTCTGGTCGCGTCGTAGGTTAGATTCGTGATTTTGTGTTTTCTGTGTTTTGTTGTCTGTGCGGTTGCTGTGTTTTTTTTTTTAACGCATTGACGTGCGATGACGTGCTGATTTCTGCTGCCGTGACTGACGGCGAGGTTGTACCCTGTTGTGTGTGCCTGTTGTGTTTTGCAGCGTGCTTTGTTCTGTGTGTGAGTGGCAAGCAAATTGTCAAACAACCAAGTTCATAACAATTGGTATCGGAGCGGAGATTGGACTTGGAGTCCAGAGGGTTGAGCACAACAGGGGCACCTTCTTCATCTGGCTCTAACTGGCGAGAAGGTCCATGACGGTTCTTCATCTCCAGTGACTATCCAGCAGGGAAGAAGGAATACAAGCGGTGATTACAGGAGTATCAGTTGTGATTGATCAGGCACCCTGAGCCTGTCTGTGTGCCTGAGAGGAAGTGGCGAGAATAGGGTTATTTTGCCATCCACCCTCCTGACCTAAGTTGATGACTGGGTCTAGGGTGGCGAAATTTACCCTAATCCAGTGATTACTGGGTGGCGGCTTCAATCCCAGCATAGCGTTGAGGGAGGATTGATCACAGGATCACCTCCTGCTAAATTAGCCCTACCCAGGGCTAAATTTAGCACCAACGGCTCATACCTGCAGTGGCGAGAAATCTTCAGGAGAGTTTTCTCTCGCCACTGAGCCAGATTCAGTGAATCTGAGGGTGTGGGGTGAATCACCACATCATACTGGAGCAGATCAACAAGTTTCAGGAGATTCTATGCGTGGGAAGCTCTGGAAGACTGTCTGCAAGAACTTGCGAGACCAGGGTTTGGCAGCCATAGCCAAAGCTTCATCACCCACTGAGTGAAAGACTTCAAGTGAGTTTGTTCCATATGAATCCCTGAGTAGCGATTAGATTAGCCTCAGTAGAAGTAGGATTGGTGGTCTATCTGTCAGTAGTGTAACAATTGCGAAATTGTCAGACTGCAAGACAACCATATCCACCTTCTTCCTCCCTACCCTGACTCATATCTCTTCACCTATTGACCTGTTCTGACTCAAAATTGTTCTGGGACTGCCTGATAGTATTGCGCTGCATCCTGTATGTTCATTCTGTGAATTCTGTCCTGAGAAGGTAGTGATACTGTGGATTTGAGTTTTGCGCTGAGTCTATTTATAGTCTAGACTATCTAGGGCCAGTCACAACTCAAAATCTGTCCGTCAGAATTCAAGTCTGTCAGTCTGGGGTGAATCACAATTCTATTTTTAGCATCTGTGCTAAAGCGCTAGTCCAGAAACATCGTATTTGGGTCATTACAGTGCAATCCTGAAATTCGTCATATTTGGGGTTATTTTTGTTGATGTCAACAGTGACGAAATTTGAGTTTGGGGTTGTCAGGGTGTCGTTTACTAAATCGCTATTACTTGTTATCCTGTTTCAGTTAATTCTTGCCTGTTCCCATCAATACTACTAATTTGCTCTGCTTTCTGATGGGCTTTGGAATGCTAGTGACCCCTGGAAGGCTGTGAATGTGCATCTTGCAACTCCAGTGAAAGTGCAGTGTCAGGTATAGGGAATCACGAGTGAATGATTTTACTGGACACTTAGTCAACCTGACTACTGACTCCAGCGGTTCAATTCCAACCCTAACCGCCTGTGCCCACTAACCCACATTGCTTTTGAATTGACAGTGCAGCGAAATTTGAGTGTATGTCAGATCTGTAAATCGCTGCACCTCCTACTGCTTCATTTATTCATTGTGTTGTTGTGAGAGGGAAAATGTATGAAACCGCTGACACAGGTGCAGGGCAGGTGGAGGTAGTACTTAAGGATGAGGCCCAAGCCTCACCCTCAACTCCACCTCCCCCTCCTCTGACCCCTGCGCAGCGGTGCAAGAAGGAGATCCAAGAGAAACTGCGAGAGCAACAGGCGCTGCTCGCAGAGGCAGAGATACAAGAGGCTGTAGAGCTGGAAGCTGCAACAGATGCCTCCAGAAAAGAGCATCTGCTGCAGCAGGCTCAGAAGACTTTTGCAGATGCCAGAGTAACCCTGTGTACAAGGGACCTGGTTGAGCTGGTACTTTTGCAGGACAAACTTACAGCCAGCCACTTCACAAACTGGGATGAGAGGATCCAGCGGCTGGAGACCAGAGTGGCTGATCTGGGAACTCAGCAGTCAAAGATCCTGGATGCTATCCAGAATCTGACTGCTCAGTTAACAACAGCCAACGTCATCAGTCCCTTGGTCCCTGTGGTCCCCTCTCTGAAGCCCAAGAAGTCTTCTCAGCCCCCTTCTCCACCTCCTGTGTCTCCTCACTCTTCTCGCAAGGCTTCTCCCTCTGTCTCCTCCCAGGCCAAAGCCACACCTCCTCCCACCTTTGCTGCTGTTGTTGCTTGGGACCACAGAGGTCCCAAGATCCCTGCCCCCAGCAAATTCAAGGGGGATAACCCCAAGATTGATGTGGGGGACTCGGCAGCTGGTACCCGGGCCTATCTGAAGGGGTTCCAGTGCCCAGAGCAGCAAAAGGTGGCTACTGTTGTGGGGCTGCTGGAGGGGCTTGCCCCAGAAATGGGCTACCTCTACAGCAAGCGCCCAGAGTCAGACCTTGGAGGACTGGGCCCTGGCACTGGGGGCTGACAAACTTTTGCAGGCCCTGGAAGATAGGTTTGCAAACAAAGAGAGAGTCCGCAAAGCTGCTGATAAGATAGTACGCCTGGGCAAGCAGCGCTACAGCGGCAGTCTGCAGGCCTTATTTGCTGAGTTTCGTGGCCAACCAAGTTTAGCAGCGCTGAATGTCCACAGCGGCACCTGCGACATCAGCTGCGTGAAGCAGCCATAGCCGGCCTACCTGAGACAGCCATAGCTGGAGCTGTGCTCAGCGCATCTATCCCCAGGG